CAAAAAGAAAAGAAAAAAGAAACTATAAAGGACATTATTTATTACCCCTAGAGCTGTTTATAAGATCAGATAATTCACTGGGCATGGTGGCACATACCTGTAAATCAGCAGCTAGGGAGGCTGAGGCAGGAGGATCACAAGTATTTCAAAGCCAGCTTCAGCAACTTAGCAAGGCCCTAAGCAACTCAATGAGACCTTGTCTCTAAATAAAACATAACAAAGGGCTGGAGATGGGGCTCAGTGGTCCAGTGCCCCTGGATTCAATCCCCAGTACCAAAAGAATGTGTGTGTGTGTGTGTGTGTGTGTGTGTGTGTGTGTGTCCGATAATTCAAAGAATTATTGGACATGGGGTAGACTTTGGGATCAAGGCTGATTTCTCACTGTATGAAGATAATTCAAATTCAGGCATACTTCTCTGCTGACATTGTGGGATTGGCAAAAGCACATATGTCACTTCCATATTCTGAACCTTTTTTACTGGGAGATCATCCATATGTGTGTGGGCACCTAGTCTCTGGTGGGACTTTGCTCCTAACGATGCTAACTCAGGATATATTTCTTTCTCAGCTTTCTTAAAGGGGAACAATTTCTTGTGAGATTCAGGAGCAATTTGATTGGAATGCCTGAAAGTTTCATTTCCTTTTCCTGTGATGCACTTTGATGAAAAATGTATAACTAAAAAAGGTGGTCATAAAAATCATTGTAGAAATAAAAATAGTCATTGTAAAAATAAAAATCATAACTTGAACCGGTGCCTACCCCTTGGCAGACATGGAGGATACAAGAGAAGACGTCCATGACTTAAGTTTCCGAATATGTTGATCACACCATGAATGAATTCTGCAATCCAGGTATCCAGAGAGAGGTTCCTTCCCACTTCCACCACAGTTTGAAACATCACCACTGAAATAATGTTGATGTTTCACTCTGAAGAAATATGGGCAAAGCAGACAGAGGCCAGTTGCCAAGTCCAGCACCTGTATTACAATGGTGCAATTGTAGTTCGGTATACTGATTTTTTTTTTTTTATAGTGGTACTGGTGATTGAACCCAGGGCCTTGCACATGCTAGGCAAGTGCTCTACCACATGCTACATCCCCAACCCTTGTTATTGCATTTTGAGACAGGGTCTTGCAAAGTGGCCCAGGCTGACCTAGAACTCACCTCTTGCCTAAGCCTCTCAAATAGTTGGAATCATAGGCCTGTGCCACCTCTGACTTCATTTTTTTTTTTTTGGTACCAGGGATTGAACCCAGGGGCACTTAGCCACTGAGCCGCATCCCCAGCCCTTTTTTATATTTTATTGAGAGAAAGGGTCTTGCTAAGTTGCTTAGGGCCTCAACAATTCACTGAGGCTAGCTTTGAACTTGCTATTCTCCTGCCTCAGCCTCCTGAACCGCTGGGATTGCAGGAGTGTGCCAGTTCTGATTTCATTTTAAGACATCTCCAAGGCACCTTTATTTGGGGGAGTACATTAAGACTGGATGGGGAGAAATATTTCACAACAGAGAAATAGGAACCAAAGGACCCACATTACCAGTGAAAACCCAGGAGCATTCTTTACCTTCTGGTTTCACTCTCAAAGTCAAAGCCGGATGCTGTAGAAATGGTCCCGATGCTGTCGATTGTGAAGCCAGAACCCTCTGGGGAAATGAAGTACTGTTTTATTGGACAATAAAGAGAAAGAAAAATATTGGAGTGATATAGCTGATTCCCTGGAGAGATTCCTCATGCCACCAAGTACCCGGCCTCAGCTGCTCACTTGCAGCCGGCTCTATATGGGATGGATGCTCAGTAAATGCTCACCATGATGAAGGAGGGGGAAGAGGAGCTGGAGGAAGAGGAGGAGGAAGAGGAAGAGGAGGAGGAAGAGGAGAGGAGGAAGGAGAAAGGAAGAGGAGAAGGGATGGGGAGGAGGAGGAACCTGTCTCTAAATAAAATGTAAAAAGATGTGACTCAGTGGTTAAAAGCACCCCTGGGTTCAAAACCTGGTAATAAATAAATAAATAAATAAAAAGAAAAATGAGTTGCATTTAGAAAAGCATGCTGACTCTCCCCTGAGAACAGGGATAAATGTGTTAGTTTATTAGTGGTGAGGATGGACATTTTTTGTGTGTGTTAGGGATCAAGATGTGTAGAAAGAAAAAGAAATGAAATACTGGAACATCTGTTCCCCTGACTGTATGTGGCGGTACAATGTCTTATCAAGGCACTTTTCATTCATACTACCTTTCAGTGATTCTATCAGGTTCTTCCAATGCATCGTCTTTTGACTCTCATAACTCTATGTCACAGGTACTGAGATTATCCCATCTCACAGATAGGAACGCTGAGGCTTAGAAGATTCAAGAAGTTTAGCCCCAGCCTGAGAGCTGAAGTTCCCGAAACTTCGTCTATTGCTTTTCTGCTCCCTGTATTGCATTTGTAAGGGAAAGCTCTTGCCAAAGAGGAAAGATAAGGTCAGGGTTTCTAATGCAGGTGAGAATCAAACGATTACAAAAAGCCAGGGTAAAAAAAAAAAAAAAAATCCATGAGAGGATTAATATCGGAAGTTAATTATACCAGTGCTACTGACTTCATCATTGTATATACCCAGAGATAATTTAATAGAGAAGATTAAACCCAGGAGGATTGCAAAGTAAGTACCCAAAAAAATCATTTGAAGAAATTAGTGACCTTTAAATTTATTGATTTTGCCATGAATCATCGTGTTCTGATTAATTTAATTTACACCTTCTTTTTCTACCCCTATAAATAAGATGGAATTGATCTCTGCTGTTTCTGTAGAACAATGTAGAATATCAGTATTCAGGAACTGCCGGCAAATCTATCACATATTTACTTTTAGGGGCAAACACAGGAATAATGGTGTCTGCCTCATGGAGGAAAGACGGGGATGATTGGTAGTTAAATTACCCCGGGAGTGCTCACAAGCCCAAGGTCTGGTTCTATAAAAATATATATGATTTTTTTAAAAGACATCCGCTTTTATATTTGCAACAAGTCAAAATTCAGAATTCCAAAGTTAATTTCAGCGTTACACTGTGGTGAACAACTGTTTGAAACAATGCACCCTGCGAACTACATGTTATGAGGTTTGATTTGGCACAAAATGAAGTATTCTTTAAATTTAAAAAAGAAAAAAAAAATGGATGGCACTGATATGAACAAACTCCTTCGGAGAAGCAGGAGAGGTTTGGAGATGGCGGTTGCTAGGCAGCCAGGGCCATCAGTGGGAAAGCCACCTAAATGAAAGATGTCCCGAACAGGAAAGCAGCTCACAGGATGAGAAATTAACTCTCTGGGGCCAGGCAACTGAAGATTCATTGTCACGGCGTTTGTTTTGTTTTGTTGTTCCTCATTTTCTCGGTAATGACACCATCAACTAGAAAAGAACAATTTCAGCCATCAAAATAACAGTGGTGTCAGGCACAGTGGCCCACGCCTATAATGCCAGTGGCTGGGGAGGCTGAGGCAGGAGGATGGCAAGTTCAAAGCCAGCCTCAGCAACTTAGCGAGGCCCTGAGCAACTCAGTGAGACCCTGTCTCTAAATAAAACACAAAATAGGGCTGGGGATGGGGCTCAGGGGTCCAGTGCCCTGAGTTCAATCCTGGTACCCCACTTCACCCCACCCCCAAAAAATAAATAACAGTGACAACACTACTCCCAGGTCCTGAGGCGTAAGAACAAATGAGGGGTTGGAGAGGCAGGGAGACTTCAGTCCTTCTGGAAGGACTTGTCTTCAGAATCCACTTTATTCTCTTCTCTGAAAGGCTTGTTCGGGACTAGTTGCTCTCACAGTAGCTCAAGGATTGGAAATATCAGAACCTGCCCTTCAGGCCAAACAGAGTAAAGAGAGTTCAGGCCTCAACAACTCAAGTCTCCTTTGAGAGCAGGGACTTAGAAACAATGGCTGAATTCTTCAGGGCTCTCTGCACCATTAAAATAAAAACAATAATATCTGTGATGGCGACCGTTTGTTCTGATTGTGTGCCTTTTTCTTGAATTATCTCACTCAACCTTTTTTTTTTTTTTTGTACCAGGGATTGAACCCAGGGGGTTACCTTTTTATATTTTATTTACAGACAGGGTCTCGCTGAGTTGCTTAGGGCTTTGCTAAGTTGCTGAGGCTGGCTTTGAACTTGTGATCCTTCTGTCTCGGCCTCCTGAGCCACTGGGAGTACAGGCGTGTATCACTGCCCCTAGCTATCTCACTTAACTCTTGAAATGATGCTGAGATTGGTACTCCTCTTAGCCCTACATTTCAAAAGAGGAAACCAAGGCTTGCAAACATTGAAGAAACGGCTCAAGAATACAGATCTAGTCTTCCTGGGAGAAAAGAAAGATGTCTATTTTTTTTTTAATTTTTTAAAAAATGTTATGACTTTATTTATTTATTGGTATCAAGGATTGAACCCAGGAGCACTTAACCACAGAGTCACATCCCCAACTTTGTTTATTTATTGTTTATTTATTTAGAGTCAGGGTTTCACTATGTTGTTTAGGGTCTCATTAAATTGCTGAGGCTGGCCTTGAACTCACAATCCTCTTGCCTCAGTTTCCCAAGCCCCTGGCATTACAGGCGTGCACCACAGCACATGGCTATTTTTTTAAAACATTACAATTGAACCTACTTTTTAAATGTTGCAGGTGGAGACTAAAGAATCTACATGGGTGAAAACATAATTATGGAGCAGCTCAGTGTTACTGTTTACAGAGGAAGAGAGGGAACTGAGGGGAGAAAGAGGGAAAGACCAGGTAGTCTGAAATGGAGCCCTGAGAAAACTGAATATCACAAGGCCCAGCGGAGGAGGATGAACCAGGAAACAAAAAGAGAAAGCATAGTGAGAAGGACAGGAGAGCCAGGCACAGTGGCACATGCCTCTAATCCCAGCCGGAGGATCATGAGTTCAAAGCCCCCCTTGGCAACTTAGTGAGGTCCTGTCTCTAAATAAAATATTAAAAATGTGATTCTGCAACATGCACCCTTGGGAAAATGAGAAATTATATCCCATCTATGTATGATATATCAAAGTACATAAATGCATTCTACTGTCATGTGTAACTAATTAAATCAAATTTTTAAAAAATGTGGGGATGTGGCTCAGTGGTTAAGTGCTCCTGGGTTTTAATCCCTGATACAAAAGAAAATAAAAAAGAAAAAGGTAGGAGAAATATTAGGAGTGTTTACTATCACAAAATAATATTAATATTAGCTAATAATTATTGAGTGCTTCGTGCCTAGTACTTTACTTGCATTACCTCATTTAAGGCAGAACCTAACGATAACTCTATTATAAATAAAGAAACAGAGGGACCGAGAGCTCTACCAGGATTTCAAAGAGGGTCAAAGCTCGAGTCCTCTCCTAAGCTGGCTAATTGCAAGCTGTGCTGTTCCATGTCTACCTTGGTTTGACCCAGGGAAGAAATGGCTTTCTTAGGAAGCACTAGTACAGAGTGTGATCCGGACCGACTTGTTTTCAAACAGCCAAATATGTTGTGTTCATTTTAAAGCAAAAAGATTGGCTAATGATTGCTGATCTGCTACAAAACCTTTTATTGGAGAGGTGCAGGGTTTTTTTTTCTTTTTTAAATTATTATTATTATTATTATTATTTGTTCTTTTTAGATACACGTCAGTAGTGTTTTCTGTGTTGTTTTGTTTTATTTTTGGTACTGGGCATTGAACCCAGGGACACTTGACAACTGAGCCACACCCCCAGCCATAAATTTTATATTTTATTTAGAGACAGGGTCTCACTGAGTTGCTTAGCACCTCACTAAGTTGCTGAGACTGGCTCTGAACTCTCTCGATCCTCCTGCCTCAGCCTCCCAAGCCACTGGAATTACAGGCATGTACCACCACCCCCCAGACAGTAGAATGTATTTTGACATATTATACATACGTGGAGTATAACTTATTCTAATTAGGATCCCATTCTTGAGGTGTTACATGATGTGGAGTTACATTGGTTGAGTATTCATAAATGAACACAGGAAAGTTCTGTCCCATTCATTCCACTGTCTTTCCTATTCCCATCCCCCTCCTTTCCATTAATTACCATTGTCTAATCCAATGCACTTCTATTCTCTCCGCCCCTTACTGTGTGTTAGCATCTGCATATCAGAGAGAACATTTAGTCTTTGGTTTATTGGGACTGGCTTATTTCACTTGGCATGATAGTCTCCAGTTCCATCCATTTACCAGCAAATGCCATTATTTCATTCTTCTTAATGGCTGAGTGATATATACACCACATTTGAGAGATGTATCATTTAAGAAGAGAGCTTCAAACTATAAAACAGATAAAACTCCAGACACAGTAATTATTGTAGAATAGACTTGCATGTTCATCCTAGGGCTATGCAGAAAGTACTAGCACTTTACCCTGAGCATTTGCTAAGACAGAAGTTACCACGGATCTTGTGCATGACCTTGAAAGTTGTTGAGGTTTCTCATAACATCTTGTTACTTTCCTCCAAAGTATAAGAGCACTCTCTTACATTCACTTTATAAGCCATAGAAATAGTTTTCCACTTACACACTTCCACAGGACCGCTAAGAGTCCTCGATCTTCTTAAAGCAAACTTCTTTATGATTCTAATACATTATCCCAATATCTAGTTAATATACCAGCCCTCGAGCTGGTATATGATG